CTGTGAAAGGCTACCCTTCCTGCTAAATGGATTTTTGCCATTTTGCATTATATGTGTGTGTGTGTGTGTGTGTGATGGTCTTAATATTGATGATTATAAATAGCAATCAACTCTGAAAACCACTGAAGATGCTTTATGATGTACTGTATCAAATATTCAGCCAATATTTAATTATTTATGTAAAAATAATCTGTCTAACTAGTATGCACATCTGCTCTAGTTTCTAGTAAATAGTATGCTTACATGTATACTAAGGATTGTTTTAAATAAATTTCCTTACAACTTATTATCAGTAAATATTGTATTTCTATACCTATTTTGTATACCTATGCACTCAGGGTCATGAAACAATTTCTTGGACAAAAAGGGATTGTGAGTTGAGAAAGTATAAAACTCTGATCTATCTACTTCCTGATACTGCAGAGAGGCCAAAGCTATCCTTCCTTTCAATTATCATAAGACTGTAGCTGGGATACCTGGAAGCTATCAGGCCTTTCCAAATGACAAAGGCAGACACTAATCTAAATGAATATGCAAAGGTGCTTATTCCCAGGATAGTAATATTCAGGCAGTCATACAATCTTTCATTTGAGTTAATTTAATTATCAGACCAAATTTAATTATCCAATACAATGTAAATAAAGTGAAGAGCTGACAGCACATATTAATTATGTTCATTATAATAATTAAATGGAAAAGAATTTAGAAAGTCATGAAAATGCTGTAAATTACAAGGAAGCTTTTGATTAAAACATCATTTTAACTAGACACTGCAAACCTATAGGAAACAGATGATGGTTCAATCACACACAGGGCATTACTTTTATTATCTGGCTTGCTCTCCTGATCTGTGGTATCATGGGGATCAGCCCTTTTAGTTAATTGACTAAGTGGTGGCAAATAAAAAAAAAGTCAATCCTTTATGCAAAGCAGTTACCTAATTAAACAGATTTAGGCTGCAGCAAGATTCAGGACCCACTCCTACCTTTTAGATAAACATGCTGCTTCCCCAGTAGGAAAGGAAGAATCCTCTCTTGAAAAATATGCCTGCAGATTAACATGAGACCTACCTGAGCTGAGGGTTATCTTTTCTCCACATAATCAATCCCCTGATTTAGAGAAGCTTGTGCAAGGCTGTATTGTTTGCCCTGAGAACAGGGGTGGCTGGGAAGGGGTACCACTGGGCTGCTGCCTATGAGGTGAGGCTACCCAGATGACCTTCTAGGATAAAAGCTCCACAAAAATGGACATGGGGGTTAAGAGCTTATAACTGCTCTTACCACACCTCCTGAGCAAATGTTCACTTAGCAAACTGCAGGGTTTGTGGTGGATAGAAAGGAAATCAAAAAGTTCCATTTTAGCCAGGCGGTGGTGGTGTACGTCTTTAATCCCAGCACTCAAGGGATAGAGGCAGGTGGATCTCTGTGAGTTTGAGGCTAGCCTGGTCTACAGAGTGAGTTCCAGGACAGGCTCCAAATCTATACAGAGAAACCCTGTCTTGAACCCCTCTCTGCCAAAAAAAGTTCCATTTTAAAGGAAAGCAAATACCTTTTTATTGGTAGAAAACTTCTGACTTCACTGGATGCAAGTCGTTGCCACCTCAGTGACTTGTGGCTGTCTGCCTTATGCCGTCCTCCTTATGCAGACTAGCCCACAGAGCATGGCTCAGAGATTCCCACTTGAGCTAGGAGACCCAGCAGATAAAACAACTGTGGCTGGTGATGGCATGGCAGAGCAAACCCTAATAAGTTACCTGTGAGAATGATGTAGGAGGGTCATCTGTCTATGTGTTACTCTCATTGGTTAATAAAGAAACTGCCTTGGCCTTTTGATAAGACAACAGACTTAGATAGGCAAAGTAGACAGAACAGAATGCTGGGAGAAAGAAAGCAGAGTCAGGAGACGCCATGATTCCCCTTCCCCAGATGGTAAGCCACGACCTCGTGGTGGCATATAGATTATTAGAAATGAGTTAGTCAAGATGTGAGAGTTAGCCAATAAGAGGCTGGAAATAATGGACCAGGCAGCGTTTAAATGAATACAGTTTCCGTGTAATTATTTCAGGTGCAAACTAGCTGGGGAGCCGGGGGCCCCCCGGGGGGCCGCCCCCTTTTCCCCCCCCCCCCCCCCCCGGCTCCCTTTTCAACATGAGAAGTCTGCTGTGTCTAGGGGGCAGGCAGCTTATTAGGCTGTCTGATGTTGACAGGGTCTGGAGGAGAGTAAGGAGGATCTAAAAACCACAAAAGGGTGGAGAGTCCTCCTAAAACCAGAATGCTGGTCGTCTATGGTTTTAGTCTCAGACTTTTTTTTTCCTTTTTTTGAGACAGGGTTTCTCTGTGTAGCTTTGGAGTCTGTGCTGGAACTCACTCTGTAGACCAGACCTTGAACTCACAGAGATCTGCCTGCCTCTGCCTCCTGAGTTCTGGGATTACAGGCATGTACCATCATGCCCAGCCACACCTGACTTTTTAAGCTTCCTGGCACTGTTCTTTGTTTCAGGAGGCTTAATGTACCTCTTAGACCCCACCCTCTACCCACCTACTTGAAGTAGGACTTAACTGTGGATGATGACAGCACTGCAGGGCTGAACACATGGGTATAACAGCACCAAGGTCTACAGGTCAGGGGTGATGCTTACAAACTGCTTTGCTACAAATCTTTGCTTTTCATAATTACTACCTTTGCTATCAATTTCCAGTGTTTTGTATTTTAACACATTGTTTTCTCCTCGTAAACTTCTGCATTTCAGCAACTGTCTCAGGCAGACCTGACTTCACTTCTCCAGAGCAGAAGCAAAGGATCAGTTCAGCCCCTTGCCCTCGTGGGAGGCAAGATGCCGGAGCACAAGGTACCGGAGCACAAGGTCTGTTTTCTTTCACTTTTCTAATTTCATCCTCTGAGTGAGCTCATCTCTCAACATTGACCTCCAAATCTTACTGCATCTTTTTCTTCTTCTAGAAGAAGTAGCCTGCTGGGGCAATGGCTACTGCTGAAGCCTTCTGCTCCTCTATGTCTTCCCCCTCCTAAGTCTCCCTTCTCTTCCACTCCTACCTTAATGCTCTCTCTATCTGCTTCAGCTGCCTTTTTCCTTATCTCTTCAAATATATGTGCCTCTGTATCTGATCTCTCTGGTGAGACCAGAGATACCAAAGTGTGTGCCTATCTAAAAGGAGAGAACTACTGTGTGATCTAGCATCTGTAGAAAAACTCAGAAATGCACAGAATTCTGCATTCCATAAACTTCTCATAATGGAGCTGGTTTGTACAAAAAGTTTCAAAGCACAGCAGCATGAAATGTGCTGAAAGAATGGAACCTTTTGATGTGCACTGCACATGGTCAAACAGCACACTCACAAACTGCAGCTCTTTACAAGTGCAGCAGAGTGTCATGATATATAGCACAAACCACTTATGTATAAAACAGGAAACTGTTAGGTAAACTATGAGTGTCACACAAGGTAAAGTCATTAAAAATGATATTCTGGTATAATATGAAGTACACAGGAAGCAGGATGTTCCTTCACATGTGCAATGAAGCCTGCTGGTGGCATCAAAGATGTTGGAATCAGAAACACCAGGGATTCCATTTTATTCTCTATATTTTCCGTGTCTTTTTCATAACAAATAAGGACTTTTTGTGGTCATAAACACTAGAAGAAATGTTAAAGTGATACAAAAATCATTTAGTAGACTGAGACACACAGGGAAGAAATCTACATAGAACAGTCCCCTCATTTATCTTTTCCTCAGTAGTTTTTAAAAGTTTTGTCAACCTACTGGGCCAGACCCTTAGAAAGGATAAAACCCTGGCTGTTTGCAAGGGAAGGAGCTTCCTGGGTATTTCTGTGTGGGGATGTGACAGTAACTGCCTCCTGGCAACAGACTCTGGGCAAAGGAAATTTTTTAAAAATTTTGTACGTATTACTATTCCTAAATCTTCCATATTTTAACCACAAGAATGTGTTTCTAAAATAGACTGTCCATTTTTTGCCATTCTTACAGAGAATGCACCAAAGGTCCCCATGCTTACTAAGCGCCAAATGCTCCTGTGAACCTATGAGGCTGTGACTGTGGCCTTCTGAGCCTGTCCTGTTCTCTCTGTCCTTTCCTCTTCACTGGACATGAAGTGGCAGCTCTCAGTGCACAGCTTCTTGTCTTGTATGTGGCTCTGACAGCATACCTATCTCTTCTCTTGCCTTCCTCTAGTGTGCTCTAGGCTGGGATATCTAATAGGCACATTTATTTGAGATTTGATTAAAATAAAACCCAGCAAGTTTAGAGTAAAAGCTAGTGGGTTGTTAGAACCCTTTTCTCGGTTATAATCTATACAATCATATTTCTGTCTAGATAAAACTATATAAATTAGGTGGTTAAGAACTAGTTTGATATGTTATCTGTGCCATAATTTATTTAAAAATAAAGTGGGAAGAAGAAGGTAATTTATTATCATCTTCCAATTCGTAACAAACAAAATTCCACATTCATAAAGTAGGAGAATGCATTCATAGCAGAACCTTTACTCAGAAACCAAATAAAGCATCCAGGAGCAAAACTATGTCTGTCACTCAAGCAGAGAACCTTGCACTCTCAGGTTCTGCCCCAAACATCTGGAAACCTCTGAACACCCAGGCAGAGGAAGGTCAAGGACAGCTTTATATGTCTTACTAAGTGACCTGAGCCAAGAGATGTAGACTCTTCCTTCTCACAGTGAGGGCATGAGAGTTCATGCAGTGTGGGAGTGGAAGCTGACTGTATAGGAGGGAATGGAAGCTTCTGTAGAAAAGATTTTACCTTTATAGCTCTAAGAGGGGGCCCTTGGGCTATCTGGTGCAGATCAAATATCTTCAGAGAGATAAGGCCATCAACATATCCTGGGATCCTGGTTAAGGGCCTTCACAAAGGACAGATGGGTTCCAGCAGGCCAGCCTGCCTTTTCTCACTTCAATACCTCACACTCTCATTGCTGGGAGTAATCAAAAGTAACTTCCAGAGCCTCTTACCTGGTTATCTGGGTGGTTGACAGTGAAGTAGCCCACACAGACGATGACCTCATGAAGGAGGCTTTCACAGGAGACTTGGTTGCAGTGGCCCAGCAAGGAGCTAGCCATGTGACGGAATGCAAGGGACAAGCCCTCTGCCCCTACAATAGACTGACAGACAAGGAACAGTTAGAACTCCCAGGCCAGAAAGAGCCATGGCTGCACATCATATAGCAAGACAAGGCTCTGTATACTCTCTGCTATGCAGCTAGAGAAGCATGATATCTCTTTCTCGTCTTGTTTTAAACATTTATACCATGTATTTAACATCAGAGTTCCTGTTCCTAGAAAAGTGGAGAAAGGATCTAATGGTACAAGTTATAGACATTCTTAACTTTCACATAGCCTAGGTGTCAAATGTAAGGAAGTTTGCTTGAACCTGGAACTTTATCTTTTTATTTTATTTTTAAAGTTTCTATATTATTTTTTAATTGGAATTTTTTTCATACACTATAATGTTTTTCCCTTTCCAAACTCTCCCAGAATCTTCAGACCCACCTCTACACTCTGTTTTTTCTTAAAAAAACAAAACCAAAAACAAACGAGAAACACATACAGTAGCCCCCAAAGGAAACCAAAATATACAAGTAAAAGACAAATAAGACAAAATACCCAAATGAAGTAATATAAGACAAAAATATCATGAACCTGATATATTTCTACGGTACTATGGGTGTTCAGGTGTTCTTAATCTAGTAAATGGTCAAAATAAATGTAATGTTTAACCTGAAGGACAGAAAATAGGATCAAGACACTGTCTACCAAAAATAGTTATTTAATACATGCTTAATAACTTACATTTTCTCATTTGTCAAGAATTCTTATTGTAGAAAATATGTAGAAGTGTATAAATTCTAAAATTTATCTGTGAATGTACCATGTAAGCTAATTCCTAAAACTTTTTCTGAAGGGAAGTATTTTCTTGTACATAGCAAAGACATTTAGTGTTTTTGTAGGCTCTGGGGATTGTACCCAGGGCCTCGCACATGTTAAGAAGACACTGACCACTGGGCTATGTTCTCCACCTTCGTATATAGAGATAAATACCTATTTCTAGTTATTTACTTATGTTCAAATAGAAAACAAATCTAAATAAGAACTGTTATTCAAATAAATAGTGCTCTAAAACAAAGGCTACCAAAAGAATGTGAAAAACCAAACCAAAACAAAAAAAATCTTCCCCCCCTAACTTAGGAGCTCTTCAGCTATGAGGCTTCTGGGATCTTTTCTCCAGACAGCCTATGGGCTGTCAGTGGTGGGTGACTCGGGAGGAGAGTCTGAGTCTGCCTGTACAGCCTGAAGCTTCTATTTAATAAACATGTCAAGCAGACAGAGCGACAGGAGGGCAAAGGGGAGAGGCGAAGCCGCAGAGCGCACTGCAGCCCACACTGGAGCGAGCACTGCTGCCGGCTCTGGGAAAGCCACGGGTTTAAAACTCGTCTCTGTCTGAGGGCTTGTTGGGTTTGATGGCTGTAGCTTGGAAATTTCAGCAAACCCACTGCCTAAATGGGGTGACACACAGCCCTTCAGGTGCACTGCTGTGACACAATGACTGCAGGCTGCAAGAGTGTCTTCCGTCACAGTTCTACTGCCCCAAGACAACCCCCACCCCAAATATTTTTCAAGCCCCAAAGACACTTTAGGAGGGCTTTGCTCCTTTAAATCAAGTCCTGACACTTTCTCAGTTCAGCCCTTATTTAATTAGTTGCGTCCAGCATGCTGTGACCTAGTGCCCTCTGTTTAACCTTCCCTGATAAGAGCAGGTCAAAGGGCATGTATGTTTGAATATAAAAATCAAACCAATTTTTCAAGGAAACTATATTTCCTTTCTAGCCAGAATTAATTGCCAAGTCAGTACACTGATTTGTTTCTTGAGACCACCTTCAATTGTTAAAACTGTCACTGCAAATGCAATGTACAGTATCAGTGACCTCTAGGCCATCTGTGCCAGTATGATTTCAGAGTGGACTCCCGCTCTTGGCTGAGGGAGGAAGTATTTTAACAGCCTTATTGGTATATGATGAAAATGTTCTAATGGACAACCCTTTTGTTGTTATGACAGACAACAAGCACATAGATGTGTGGCTCTGAAGCAATGTAGAGAAGTACGAACGCTACATTCGGCACTTTCTGATCCAATGTCTCCCAGGAGGCTGAGTAAATGCTTTATCTTTATAAGCCACACAGTAAGGAACTCAGGAACAGCATCCACAGAAATGCCCAGCAAGTGGATTGACCAGGGAAGGCCCAGACACAGAGACCAGAGGGTGTCAGTTCATGCATCTGGGGCCCAGCACTTGCTGGCTAGCACAACGACATTGTGCAATCTTGTTTAATCTTATGTTTTTGTACGGTGGATGTTTCTAATATGCTTTAGACGAGGGTACTGCATCTTAAATATTCAGATGGCTTGTCCAAGGCCATACAATCTGTGGTGGTGGGATTGCTTAGCAGGGTCAGTCTGACTCCGGGCACAGGAGCTTGATGAGCATTGAGAGTCTTTGGCACTCTAAATTCCTGTGATAGCTGGAGGTGTGATGTGACCATCAGTGGTGTCTGTGTGGACAGATGAGCCATCTAGCTTGCTAAACAGTGGTGTGGTTCATAAATGCCCTCAAATATTTCACCATTCTCTTACTAAAGGTGAGACCTATGTCTCTCTTTCAGTCTGGGAGGTTTATGAGTGATCCAACACACTACACACTACACTACACACACTACACTACACACACACACACACACACACACACACACACACACACACACAAATTTTATATAGAGAAATTTTGTTGTTATTGTTGTTGTTTTTCTAAGACAAGGTCTCCTGTAGCCTGGGCTGGCCTTTTGCTCACTATGTAGCTAAGGTCTTGAATTCCTGTCTTCATCCTCCTCTTTCCATCCTTCCTTCCTTTCCTTTCCCTTCCTTCCTTCCTCCCTCCCTCCCACCCTCTCCACATTCTATAAGCACAGAACATGATAGGCTTTAAAAATTATTGTTGTTATTATCTTTAAAATATATATTATTTATGTGTATGCATGAGTGCTTGCAATGCATATATATATGTATACCACACACATGCTTGGCGCCTGCAGAAGCCAGAAGGGATCATGTGATCACCTGAAACTGACCTTGCAGATGTTTTTCAGCTTCAAGTGGGTGCTGAGAGCTGAGCCAGAGTTCTCTGTAGGAGTGTAGGACTGCTGCACATCTTTCAGTCCCCTTAACATTGTTTCTGAGACAGGGCCTAGTAATGCAGTACAAACTGTCCTCAAATTGTAGGAGTCCTCTTGCCCCAGTTTCTAAGGACTAAGCAGAATGTGCCTGATATATAGCTATATGACCTCTCAAAATAGGTCATGAAAAGTCATGCTGTCTGGTTCTTTTGGAACACTTGCTTTTCAGAAACTTCCTCTTAGGACATTCCCCTCAGGATTCTGCTATCATAATCTTTTGAGAAGTCTCTATCATATAGATAAGCTGTACAGGGGTATATATATAAGATGTATATAGGACTATCAGCTGGCTAGTACTCAAGTGGTGCCTTTGAAGTGCCCCAAACACCAACCATGCACAAAGGATTCTCTAGATAATTTCAGTTCCTAGTTCCATGAGACATGCTTACCCTTGCTTTCATCCTCCTTTTTCTTTTTCACTTTGAATCCTGTCCTGGAACTCACTCTGTAGACCAGGTTGACCTTGAACTCACAGAGATCCACCTGCCTCTGCCTTGTAAGTGCTGGGATTAAAGGCCTGTGCCACTGCTGTCCGGCTCCCTTCCTCCCTTTTCCTCCTTTAGCATTGTGATTCTCTTGGTTGAAGCTTTATCATCATGGAGTAGAGTCAAGTCACCCTCATGAGCTACAGAATTCCCTATATGAATTATATACTCACAGAATCTGAGATTATAATAAAACTGATCACATTGCTATTGTTTACTCCATTAAGTTCAAGTGGTTTTTTTCTAAATACATAAAAACAACTGGATTAGGTATACACTTTTTCATAATTTATGGTAACAAGGAAATAATTTTATTTGGATCTAACTGATGGGACTACTATTGGATTCTGTATTCTGAAGTCCTCTGATTAAAAAAAATGCCATATGCAACCAGAAGTAGCAATCTCCTGCAGTGGAGTCTGTCTGGAGCAGATCCTCTCATGCAGGCGTGCTGTAAACTACTATCACGCTGAAGACTGCAGCTAACAGCAAAGGCTACTTCAGCGGCTTTGGAAGCAGAACACATTGATCCTATAGGACGGTCTTCTGTCCTTGTGATGGATAAAGGAACTACGAAGTACAGGCTCCAACGATACAACTCACTAATTTCCTTTCTTAACAGAATCCTAGAGGATATGAGTGAACTGAACACATGTCACCAGTCACACAGCAGAAGTGTTTCTTCCCGCTCAGGGCAGCAGAGCACACTGTCTTCAGTGTGCATCGCTATAGCCCTTCCCCTCTCAACAAGTAATTCATCTAGATTATGGGTTCATCACCTGCCAAGTTTGTTCCTTTTTTAATGAAATCACTTGGCAGTTAATAAACGGACAGGGAAAGTCTATTCCTTGGGGCTTGCTCTGTTGCACAGGTTCAGTGTTTTTGAAAATTAAATTTCCTACTTGAAAAAAGTCTGTTTTTAAGCTGACAGCATGGTATTATAGCAAAAGCCATTTTTCTTTCTTTAGCTATAAAAATTTATAGCACTTTGTACAGTTATGTATAAATGACCTTTACTTTGGACACAAATCACTTAAATCATCCAGAGAGTTATATCAATCAAAATAATCAATTTTGTTTCTATTCTATAAGAAGCCATTAGTTTCCTTAACATTTAAAAGTTGACAGGATGATAATACCTTTATCTAAAGAATGCAGGATGGAAGTTTTTTAAGTGGCAGCATGGCATAGGCTAGACTTAAAGAGTGGAGAGTCATGGGTAACTAATCTTATTTCAGTTAAATAGAATTTAGGTAAATTATTTATCAGTTTCGCCATCTGTAAAATGGGTACAATAACATTTTACATAGTATCTATGAGAATAAATAAGAAAGCACATGTGGAACATTTAGCATGGTACCAAAATCAGTAGCTTAATGAATGATACATATGCTTTATAATTCTATTTACTGTAATCTGGGAGCTCAGAACCCAGAGAAGAACCTCCCATTATATATACATTAAAAGATTAACTTTTTGGAGACTGGAAAGATGGCTCAGCAGTTGGGAACAGTAGTTGTTTTTCTAGAGAACCCAGGTTCAATTCCTAGCACCCACATGATGGCTTGCGACTGTCTATAACTCTAATTCCAGAGGGGATCTGATGCCCTCTTCTGGCTTCTGCTGGTATTAGGCATATATGTGGTACACAGACACACACACATAAGGAAAACATATAAATGAAAATAAGCAAACCTTAAAAATGGTTACTAAAAAGATTAACTTTGGGGGACTGGGGAGATGGCTCAGTGGGCAGAGTGCTTGTTGTGCAGGTATGAGGTCTAAGCTCAGACTTCCAACACCCACGTAAAAATCCTGGCATGCCAACGAGTGTCTATACTCTAGTGCTCGGTACAGGGAGACAGGAAGATCCTGGGGGTTTGCTGGCCAGCAAGTCTATCATAAATGGTGAGCTTCAAGTTCAGTGAGAGACCCTGTCTCTAAAAAAGGTAGAGTCAGGCATGGTGGCACACATCTTTAATCCCAGCCCTCTGAAGGCAGGTAGATTCTGCAAATTCAAGGCCAACTGTTCTACGTAGGAGTCCCAGCCAGGACTACATAGTGAGACCCTTTCTAAAATGAATGAATGAATAAATAAGACAGCCAGTGAGAGAGGAGGATATCCAGCTCCACCTCTAGCCTTCATATGCACATGCAAGGACACACACATAGTAACATTTTGTTGGTTAACACAACCTGAATCAAGGTTTAGTACCTGAAAAGCAGGCAGATCAAGAACTGCGAAACTGTTGAAGAAACGCAAACTCTGAATGGCTACTTGGATGGTGTTCTGGGTGTAACTCTCCTTGGGACTGGTAGAGCTGGGGTCTGAGATGGTGCCATGGAAGAGGATACAGTAGAGCATATGTAGAACTCCAGCCAAGTCTGTGGCCTGAAGAGCAGCTGTCAGCCCTGTGGGATCCGGGTGATTATTGTCAAATATGCTGAAGGACCTGACAAAGAAACACACAACTCTGAGAAAAATCTAGTTAAAGGATGTTAGCATTTTTATAGGTTAAATGAAACACAACAAGCAGACCATTAAAAAGCAAACCATCTGAGTTGTGTACTGAGGTAACAAGAAACCTCTAGAAACAAATGTAGCCTTCCCCACTTAGTGTATGTGGCTTTCCTTTCTTATCCCTGGGGGAGCAGTCTGCTCCTCTGTGGTAACTGAGCACCATGCAGTTGGTGCTGAGGCCGCCACTGCCCTTCCTGTACTTGGCAGCCTAGGATACCCCCACTATCTCTAGTGCCTACATCTGGGCAAACTGTTAAGAGCCTGTGAGAGTTTTATGGACTCAGAGATCCATAGTTTCCCTTTCTGGATCTACAAAGGGGATCTTCTCAGGGGAAGCAGTTACCAGGGAAGCATAGGTCCTCAAAAACCTGCAGTAAGTCCATATACCAAAGGGAGATGTTTCAACTGCTTTGTAGGCCTTGTGCCAGAATAAAAAATATATTAGCAGGATAGGTTGTGTAGACCATAGTTTCCTAAACCCTAAGATTAGGTCTACATAGATTATTGTAGACTCAGCTTAGTCACTGAGGTATGTAGCTTTACTGATGAGACAGAAAAGGCAATTAAGTGGTAAATGAATTCTTAAAATCAACAGTGAGACAGCAAGGTTTTGCTAAACCTATCTCACTTGAAATAAGGCATACAAAGCATGTAGTCAAAGCATATACAGCTGCCAACTATTCATTCACCTCCCTGTCCCCAGTGTCAGCTACAAACAACAGACTACCCTCTGAGGAAACAACCCTCCTTACCTCATTGCTAGAGTACGTGATGGAGCCCTTCCTTGTTTACTCTGGCACAAGGGTGCCTAGGTTGAAGCTTAAGCTCTACGTTTTATTTCCCTAGCTGTTCAGCACATGCCACACTCAGAGCCAGAAGGCTGCAGAGGAACACTTTTGTCACTATACATGGAAAGAATTCTCCCTTTTCCTTTTACTGGATCCAAGAAGATGCAAGTTTTAAGGTGTGACAGGCAGGGGCTCCAACTATAGCAGGGACAAACCCTAATGTTCCTTGGTGCTGTTCCAAGTAGGTTAGTTACCACTTTTTCATGGGACCTGGCTTTTTCTCTGGGAAGTTTTAAGATGCTGCTCAGTGTCTTTCCTAGTACTCTTCCATCTGTGCAGACCTCATCAGAAGAGCCCACACTACTCTGTGACCATGCAATGACACCTTTCCCAAGCTCAGAACATTAACAGGTTTTCCTCTATCATTTGTCAATCCTTCAAGCAGGAATGCAAGAGGGAGAGAAGCACTAAGATCTATGCTTATCCCATAATCTTGCTTGAAACATTCAGAAGAAATTACTAAAGAACTCAGAGGGCTGGCTGGTGAGTTTCTAGTATCGTGTCTAAAGGGATTGTTTTATTCATTTTAATTTGGTAGTTGCATCGAAGTAGTTTTATTGATAACCTTAGTCAGCATTTATGTCTCAGATATATTCTGTTTCTGATATTGCTCAGAACACAACCACAGAACATGACAAATCCTTGTGTTCTTCTCATGGAACACCTTATGCACATAGTAGGATCCTCTCAGTTGCTGGGATTGGCACTATTCTCATGCATGGTGTGCACTATGTGACAGCTACAACCTAAAGCAGATCATATGAGCTTCTTAAGTAGCAGAGGCAAGGGAATGACACAGGCCTTATTACCTGTGCTCTGCCCAAGGACCAAAATATTCACATTCACACAGAACAGGAAATGATCTCTTATTTTCTCTCTGCCTTTTCTTTAGTGAGAATTTGCAATTCACTGAATATTGTTAGATATAATACACCTTTGTGACATCATAAGGAGGTCTTTTTATAGTATGTTACTATAGAAAGATTAAAGTTTTAAAAAGGACTTTGATTATAGGCACATTTGGAATACTTTTTACAAACTTTTTAGTTGAGTATCAATTGGTGCTAGCTTCCTGCCATTAAAGTCAAAAGAACTAGGAGTCAGACCCTAATTTCAGACACGAGAAGAGATTAATTTATTTGTAGTTATTATATAGGGTCTGAAAAGACTCTTGCAGGAATTAGTTAACTGCCTGTTCAAACAGGCTAAATCAGAAAGCAGTTCTCCCCAAAACTAATTCTTTTGTTGTTGTTGTCGTCATTTGTTTGTTTGAGACAGGGTTTCTCTGTGCAGACCAGGCTGTCCTGGAAGTCAGAGATCTGCCTGCTTCTTTTTGCCGAGTGTGTACCACTAATTCTTAATTGGTTTAAGAACCTGAGGAGTGCGACACTATTGCTGGTAACCAGAGTTTGACACTGAATCTGAATGCTGACTTCCCCTTACTGAGCCTGCTGGTTTCAGCAGATTATTAGCATATTATAACACAAATATTCAGGAATACAGCTTTATTGCTAAGAACATTGTCATAACCTTTCTTAGCAATTACTAAATGACATGAATTCTCTATTCTTTCTTCCAAAGAATAAATGCAAAAAGCCAACCAGCCAAACAAACAAAAAATCAAAACTCAAACAGAAAGCTTAAAGAGAAGGTCAGCAGCAGTGTTTCTCCTGCAGCTTCATGAGGAAAAGGACTGACTTTACAGCTAATAAAACAACACAGTCTTTGGAAATACTCTCTGAAGGAAACAAAAGTGTTGGCTGAGGAAAAACAAGCATTCAGGGAGCGAGATGTGGAAATGGTTCAAAATGCATATAATATTGCTTTGAGGAAAAGTGTATTTCCCTTAAAGTGATCTCATGAAGTATAAAAAGGCTGTGAGGGCCTTTTATTTACTTTAGTTTTTTTAATTAATCAATCAATTTATTTATTTGCGTGTGTATGTGTGCATGTGCACTATAGCACACATGTAGAGGTCAGAGGGCAGCTTGTGGGAGTCTGTTTTCTTCTTCTACCATGTGAGTCCCAGGGATCAGGCTCAGGTCCTCAGGCTTGGGCAAGCTCTTTCCCTGCTGAGCCATCTCTGGGCCAATGTTTACTTCTGATTTAGCCTGAAATACAGATCATTAGCTGTCAGCAGATGCCTGCTCCTGTTGAGTCTTAACTCTTAGTTATAATCTCTTTAATCCCACATGTTTATAGTAAAAGGCTTTATGCATATCATGAATGCATTATAAAGTTTTTCTTAAAATGTGTTATTAAGAGAAAAAAGGACACAAAGTTGCGGGAGGCCAGGAAAGTGGGGATGGATGGGGAGGAGTTGAGAGTAGGAGTAGGGGTAAATATGATAAAATACATTGTATGTAAATTTCAAAAATTAATAGAAATATTTTAAAATTCATGAAAGATATTAAGAATTAGATGTGGAGTTTTGCATAGCACACTTTAAAATGTAAAGACTCTTCAATTTTTTTTTTTTTTACCAGATTTTAAGATATTTTTATTTGGATTCCAGTACTAGAAATTTTAGAGAAATATTTATTTGAATTCACTAAAACTAGATTTGAATAAGTATAACTGGGATATTATTACTGTCACATAGCATATAGCACCTGAAATCCAGCACTATTTTTTTTTTTTTTTCCCGAGACAGGGTTTCTCTGTTTAACAGCCCTGGTTGTTCTGGAACTTACTTTGTAGACAAGGCTGGCCTCGAACTCACAGAGATCCACCTGCCTCTGCTTCCTGTTTGCTGGGATTAAAGGTGTGCACCACCATGCCAGTCCCAACATTGCTTTACAGGAGTGTATAATTAGGCAAAAAAGCATCGTTTGCATAGGCCATCCATTACATAACTAGCCTCAACTAGCCTAAACCAGCAGTAGGGAGGTGCAGTTCCAGACTCTAGCTCCTTCCCTCCCATTTGTTCCTAGTTTGTGTTCATCTTCCTGACTTACAGTATCCACGCTTCACTTCTGTAGGGTTGAGGACCATCTAGACTATTCCCATAGCGTCTGGGATTTTACTTCACTCATCTGTTACTTCTAGAATCTCTGAGGCATCTTGTGGAACTTCAATTTCAGTCCTGAAACCGTAAAACCACACTTAACAGTCTGCACAGTGTTGGTGTGGAGTGAATTAAGGCTGTGCCTGCCCTGGTGATGGATGAGAACTTCATTGAACAAGGAGAAGTGAATTATTTCTCAGCAGAATTCCAGCTTTTGGCTCTTAGATACTGGGATATTCCAAGAAAAGCAACACTCATCTAGTGACATCATATTTACCAGGTTTGTGTGAGCACAAAAGGAATGATGCTCTCTTGGGTACTCTGCTCAAAAGCCAAAGTGCCTGTGCTCCAAGACAATGAACCAAAAGGCAAGGAGGACCTGGCCCTTATACTGGAGGAGGCTGCGGTCCAGTAATGGTGGGTCTGTCAGCTACCTATTGCTGGTAGAACAAACTGTCACAACCTATTGGCAGCAAACAACATAAATGTAGCACTTTCTAGTCCTGAAGGTTGTACTAAAGTCATTGCCACACAGTTTGTGTTCCCTCAGGGGTGCAGGGCAGAGGGTACCTTTCCCAGATTGCAGATCACACTCAGACCTCTCTAAGGCCCACAGTGCACCATCTTCACATCTTTTTAATACACACACTGTGTTTAGTGTCAGATGCCAACTTTGGGCTTTCTGGTGTAGAGTCCTTGCTGGGGGATATGAGCTTCTTCAGATAGTGGTTGGTCTCTGGCTAAGCCCAGGAAGTGGAGGAGTGAAGAACAAAAGACCCAGTACAATCCTGGGAAAACAAGGTGACTGGAAGGGGAAGGAGATGCTTCCAGGGAGAGAAGGCAGCTCAGAGTGACTGACTGGTACTAGCCCCAGATCTTGGAAGTGCACAACAGGGATGTGGTACAACAATGGCTCTCATCTGAGACACTTGGACCTCCATAGTTTCAATTTTTTTTAAAAGATTTATTTATTTATTATGTATACAATGGTCTGCCTGCATGTATCCCTGCAGACAGAAGTTGGCAGCAGATCTTATTACCGGTGGTTGTGAGCCACATATGGTTGCTGGGAATTGA